AAAATTTCCCTATTTACAACACTTACATTGAAATATTAGATCATAATTTAAAAAATATTTTTTTTAAAGATCTTTTTATTTCACACCCCTAGAAAAAAAGGGGGAAAAAAAAGGTACCAAATTTCAAAGGTATTTAATGATAATATTTTTAATTTATTTCCGAAGTTTTTTAAAATGTACGAAAAGATTTTGAGAAAATGCATTTTTTGTACAATTTATCTCATTTTTTTTTTATTTTGTCGTCACTACTTAAAATTTAAACCCTTTTTTAAGCTTATATCTTCTATTGGCTCATTTTTAATACTTTGTTTTTTTCTTTTAAGCTAATCTATTTTTCTTTTGGCAACTTTTGACACTGACTGAGAATTTCGCTTAGACTCTGTTACTCAAATTCCATAAAGTTCTGCAAAGCCTTTCAGTGTTAACACACCAGTAGTCCCACTGAAATGTTTTACTATATCTAACAATCCTTTAAATCTCTTCAATTTTAAAATCATATTCTCATGGCTAACTCAAACAGTCTTGCACAACACTAACTTTGGTTTTTCAAAAAGCACAGGGGCAGCAATAAAATTTATGTTAAAAAATTTTTTTTTTCATTGTTTTCGGGGAAAATCCATGGTTTTAAAGTTTAATTAGCTGTTTTTATTCCCCAAAAAAATTTGGAATATTGAAACGGTACAACGGAAACAGAAACTTTTAAAACGGACCCCTTTATTTGTACTGAGTTAAAATAAATTTCTTTTTTTTTGAATTATTTAAAAAAATAACACAAGCTAATGATTTACTAGTATTCTTTGAAAAAATCTGACTAAAAACAGGTTTTTAAAACCGTTGAATTTTAAATATATATATATATTGCTAGATTTACTTTTCAAATACTCTCAAAATATGTACTTATTTTGCCTATTAAATCAAAAGTGTGTTGAAATTTTATTAAAAAAATGTATGGTATTTAAATCCTGTTTGACGAGTTGTGCGACGACGACAAGTGCATTTAAAAGCTGATTTCCGCTCACTTAAATATCAACTTCCGGTTTTTCGCGCTTTACTCTAATTCTTTAATATCTTGGTTTTTAAGCTATCTAGAAACAAAATAGGAGTAGTTTTATAAAGATAAATAAATGCTTTACTCCACAAAATCAAAAACTGAAAATGTGAGTTTTTGTAAAAATGTACCATTCTAACGTATTCGTATACCTTAAAAATAAATAGTTAAAAAATATAATTATATGTTGACCTTTGAACAAAAAACGAAGCATAAAAAAAAAGTTATAAAATGTATCATATGTATGATACATTTACACTCTAAGAAAAAAATAAACGACAAAATCACAGCCTACCCTGCACATCTCTATATCATTAAGCTCGTTTACATCGATGCCGGATTCAATGGTATTACGGCTATGGTGTCGGCCGCCCGCTTGCGAAGACTTAATGTGCAGCCCGTCTAGGTAATTTTTCATAATTTGACTTATAATATATTTTTAATTTTTATATTTTGACATTTTCAATTACTTATTATAATACTTATTACTTCTGATTGATAAGTATTACAATAAGTAATTTTATATTTAATTAATTATAATACTTACATATTAACTTACTTATAATATACTCATGTCCGAAATTGAGGTCACAAGCACAGAATCTAGGAAAACTAATGAACTATCCGCTATGTATAAACGAAATTTAGCCCAGGGACATATTACAGTGTGAGAAAGAATACAGCAACATTGAGACATAGCCATCCTGTGATAACTATGTCTGGGATGATTCGCGTAAGCTAGAGGTGTGGGATTATCTAAATGATGAGACATTATGTAATTCTTAACACAACTTTTATTAAGAATAACTTAAATTACTTAATTCTAAATAAAAACCCTTTCTTAAAGTGAGAATAAGCCAACAATTAAACTTTATATTCAAGTCAGATCGCACAACTGAACACTTATCTAATTATATTTATTTAACTGTCTAATCTAACTTCCTATACAAAATATTACCTTTTATAGAGTCAACTTCCTTCCTAGGTTGAAGAAATTCCTATTATGTTAATTTTAGATGAGAAGCCCTAGGCTTTCTTAATCCTTATTATAATTTAAGGCAATGAGCGTATCCTTCTTCCAGAGCTGTAGGACGTCTAACCTTTATTCCAAACAATTCCGCACTAAGTTATCTCTAGGCTTGCCGTTATATCTCACCAAACTTTCTATCCTTTTAAAGTATATCTCATTTGCATATTCAACTGTTTCTCTTCTTGGTATTGGGGTTTGGAAAAAGTTTTGCCATTAATCGTGGCCGTCAAAGAACTTAGGAGTTATGTTAGAAGAAGAACGCGAGAGACGTCACAACATAACCATACAGAAAAGATTTTAATTTTGAATTAAGATAAAAGATATATCTAAGCATCATGAATCAGAGATAAAGCATTTAACTCGTTAAAAATCTATTAAATTTAAGTGTAACCACTGTTTACCAGTATACAAGCTTCATAACGAGCTATCATACTGTTTATGAGGGTGATAATAAATATTTATGGCATCAAAGCTCATTCTTCTAAAAGCACATTGACTCCTAGGGGTTCCTGGGAGGGGTGTCTACTCTGGAAATGGCTTTTCCTAGACCATCCCAAATATATTCAATAGGATTTAGATCCGGAGACCTCGAGAGTCAATCCATATGGCGAATATCCCATCCCTTATGAAATTCATCAACAATGTGAGTTCTGTGTGACCGAGATCATTTCCGCCCACAAAAATGTTGTCCGGGCCCACAGCACCCAAAAAAGCATCATATAGGCTTTCAGGATCTCATCCATATAGCGCTGTGAGTTGACAATACTCGCATAGAAAACGTACAGGGGCATACGACTGAGCAACATTATACCGCCACAAACAAGGATTCCTTTGCCACAAATTTTGTCGGTTTTTGTTATATAGGAGTGATGAAAGCGAGGTCCATTTCTCTCCAAATGAAGACTAAACGAGAATCCCTTTGTCTGGTACCTTTCGTCTCATTACTGAAAAGAACAGGCTCCCATTCTTGGGGTGTCCACGACTGATGTTTTCAGCTCAACAAATATCCGGTCTTTCATGTTGGGAGGCAGTCAAAGAGACGCACCAGAGTGGACGCCGTGCGTAAAGCACAGTCTATGCAAGACGAATGTAGACTTTTTGCCTAGAAATCCTTCTTCCAGACACTGCAGCAAGGACACCAGCAAGCCGAGAGCCATTGTCCTCCTAGGTCGTAGTGCGTTTAATGCCAAGTAGTGACCCTGTGCAGATGTCGATGCTCTGTGGCAATCTTAGCCTACCTTCCTGGTGGCAATACCACTTGTTTGAGATTGATTCCTTAAACGGGAAAACACTTTGGGGTCACTTGTAATGATCTATCCACCTCCGCTTGAGACTGGTCAACTTCAAGTCTGCCAACGACTCTCCATCTCATGGAATCATCTAAAGGATTATGAAAAGTCATCCTCACTGCTAAAGGGAGAACTTGTTTGTTTTAACACAATATTCACAAAATTACAGGAAAAAATCTCATATCGTTAAATGCGATCTCAACCTAATAATTCTGCAAAAACTAACGCTAAACAACATTTTTTCCTAAATTGGAGGGTGATACTGCAATACCCGTTCTTCAAAATATATAAAAAAAAAATTCTAAGTTTTTCTTTATGCAATTTAAAAATATGAAGAAAAACATGTTTGTGACCTTAATTTTTGACATCAGTGTACTTGAATACTATTGAGGTTATAAACTCATCAAACTGCATAAAAGTAAAAAGTAAAACATTAATAAAAATTTCAAATAAAATTTGAAGTACAAAACTTTATTTTTTTGGGCAGCTAATAGGTTATTAAAGCAACAAAATAATTTAACAAAATAATATATAGGCAAAAATAATACCTTTGAAATAAAAATAGACATTTTATAATTAGAAAAGAAAAACACAACAGTATTAACTCAGAAAATATAATCTACTAAAATAGTACTAAAACATAAATCTCGTGAAAAGAAAAGTACATAAATCAGTTCTTCTACAAAGACTACTTTATAATTAATTCTAAAATATTTTTCTGGCTCTCTCTCTGAGAAGCAAAGTTGTCAATAATTTTGAGATTTCGAATTCAATAAAGAATGAGTTGAAATCTGAAAGCCTTTCTTGTGTCGTACTCCTAAAATCTTATAGGAAAAATTCCAAAATATAAACCTTACCATCAGTAATGCTCATACATCTAATTACAAACGTTATTTGTTCTAGGGACTAATTCTTCAATACCTTATTACGAATAGATTTGGCTAAAATATTAATTATTTCATTTTGTCAATGCTGTCCTAAGTAGAGTGGAATACGTGTTTTGTTATTTTTGCTTTTACTGACATTATTAAGGTGTTCCGAATTAACTAGATTAAAGTTGTCCAATATCTAAACTGCCTTTAAAAAATTACCATTATCTCAACTTCGTACTAGTTCCTCTGAATGCCAAATTTTGACTGGCAAAAAAGTGTACTTCAGCAATCATTCTTTCAATAGTGTCATCGCTTTTTCTCTCGACATTTTGTTGTTCCGCGTCAATAGTAGTCAATGAATTTTTTGTCCAGCCTTGTCTTTAATTCGCACAATAAAGTTATACAGTATACATGTTTTGTTTTCAGGGTTATTATAATAATAAAAAAGTGTGGTGTACTTAGTGCCTGAAGATATTTCTTTGGCGTAACAAGATTAAAAAACTTTCTAAAATTTTGCAGCGGCTGGGCCAAGGACGAAAGGCGGTCACAAGCAGAGTTGAACGATACCAACCTTCAGTCAATCGGACCAGCCAAACCTGAGATAATCATGACTTAAATAAATTTAAACACCCCTGCACAGGGACACAGGGACCAATAATATGGGTAGTTGAAGGCGGGAATGATCTGTCCCGTTCTGCATGTCTAGACAAAGCATTTTCGTATCCGTTCCTACGAAACGCAAAGCAAAGGTTCGCTGACGTAGGGGTATAGCTCAGTGGTGTACAGCATTCGACTGCAGATCGAGAGGTCTCCGGTTCAAACTCGATGCCTTCTTCAGCGAAGTGAAGAGAAAATATTTTCGGAGAAATTCCGGAGGCGGGAAACGGATTTGTCCGTTCCCTGTATACTTTGTGACAAAGCATTTTCGCGTATACGTTACTTTGGGAACCCAAAGGTGCTGTTCGCCGGATGCGGTGTATAGCTCAGTGGTAGAGCATTCGGCTGCAAATCGAGAGGTCTCCGGTTCGAATCCGGTTGTCTACTGTTGCAAAGAGAAATACCTTTTTCTGGAGAATTTCGGAAGGCGGGAATGATTTGTCCTTGGGTTCTGTATATTTCTAGACAAAGGATTTCGCATTCGTGACGGTGTATGCGCGCATTGTAAAATTTATTCTCATCCTAGTATTCTCCTTAACGCCCCAAAAGAAGTATAACTTCAAAATGTATCATATTTCTCATTCCAATAAAATAATGTCTTTTAGTTTCCTCAAAAAATGTCATTTCGGGATATTTTCGTTAACATTTAACTCAAGGTATCTTATTTGAAAATATAGTTATAATAATTCTACTAAATTTATCTCTGCTTAGATTACAAAAGAAATAAAACATTGAAATAACTATTACTGACCTATATCACAAGCTGTAAATATTCCGAAAGAATTTTTTAAGGAATGCCTTTTCGATACTTTGATCAGCAATAACACTGTTACTTATAAGAATATATTTATAATTGCAACATATAATATTACTCAATTTCTCTTGATGTATAAAAAAAAGGGGGAGAAAAATAACCCATCTAAAAACACATGTGTTATATTGACTTAACATTATGATTCATAATGGATGATTCAGAAAAAAATTATAATAAAATTTAACAATAAACAAGACAAAATGAATTGATTTTCATCACTAGAATAGTAATGAAAGATGTCTTATGTCTCATTTTGGAAGTGAAAGTCGTAAATATGAAACAAAAAAATTAGCAATCACTAATATTACTTCGATTTAATCCAAAAAATAAAATTTTACAAACCATGTACTCTTAACTATAGCTATAGATACGTATATACAAAATAATTTCATTGACATTAAAATAAGCTAGTTTTTTTTTAATTCGAAATCCTTTCAATAAATTTTTCATTAATGTGAATTTATTTATTACAAAAAATTTGCTATTTAACAAAAAAAAAATTTTAAAACAAATATATATTTTATAGTCCTTTTTATGAAGGGAAAATAAAAAAAATTTTCCTAATACATTTTAAAAAAGGATAAAATTAGTAGTCCCTTTCCCAATAAGGTACCTTGTGTTTTGACACAATCCCTAGGGTCAAAAATTTACCAAAACCAGACGTTAGACATTTTGTACTTTAATGATAAACAAATAATGTAATTAGAAATTCAAGTCGTATTAATCTTTAAATAAATGATATTAAAATATATGCCTTAGTCACAGGTTTTATTCAATTTGAAGTTCATGAAAAGTGAAAATTTTAATTAAAAATTTAATAATTATAAATGTTAAATGAGCAAAAACACACAAAAATTTAATGAAAATATTCCGTTACGGATTTTTTTGAAATTCATTTTTCCACCTGTCAGTTTTTTTATTTCTGGTGTAAACCAAAAAAAACGCGCCCCCAACGAGTTCAACCCATTACATATTTTTTTTTATCTCTAAATGGGTGTGGAACGAAAAAAATTTTTTTTATTTCTCTGTTAAAATTGTTAAAATAAAACACTTCTGAACTCTTTATTTTCCCAAATACCCTTTTGCCTGTCCTTTTTAAGTTTCGGAAACCGGAATCCTTTGGGGGAATGTCCTTGTGCCCCCTCGCGATGGGGAAAAAGTTACAGAAGAAAGTAAGAAAAAACATCAAACGATGATTTAATGCACTCACCAGCCTCGTGCCCTTTAAGGTTCATCACATAAGAAAACTAACTTTAATCGTACAGAGTATAGAATAAGAAAATAAAATAACTGAAATGAAATGCCAGATTCACAATGCTAGATAAAAAATTTTATAACTAAAAATTAAAAAAGATAAACAAAACATATTTAAAAAAAATTTGTCAGAAAAGGGTCAAATATTTAAATGTTCATGTAAATGCAAGTAATTTTTTATTGATATATTTATAAATTAAATAAGTGAACAATAGCTTTTTAATAAACATTATTTTTAATTCTACATAAAAGCAGCATTTGGAAGAACTGCAATTTGTCGAACGATGCTCCAAACAAAATACTCTGTTTTGTGCACATTTGTCACCCCAAACTTAGCAATACCATATACCAGTGGCGCACACAAAGGGAGAGGGGAGGTCCTCAGGTCCGGACTCCCAAAAGACTTTGATTTTTTATCCGATAGATTATAATCCTATGCATGCAGTACGTAAAATTTAATTAAGTAGTTGTTATTACTGATTAATTTTGTTAAATAATGCTAATTATTTATTCAATAATTAGTATTAATTATTGAATAATTAATTATTTGCGTTTTTTGCTCCAGAAAATCGACAAAATCAAAAGAATATATTATGTGGTGTATTGGAGAATGGTAAGAGAATGGTGGACTTTCGACCCTGGACCCCCCTTGAAAAATTCCTGTGTGCGCCACTGTCATATACAAAAGATAATCGTTTTCCCGTTTATATCAGGACAGTAAAAATCTTGTCAAGATAAGCATATGTATTTGTATCACGAGGTCGGGGCCCATATACTTGCTGCAACAAATCGCCACGCAGTGTAATTTTTATTTTTTTAAAAAAAAGACTATCATCGTTACAAATTTTACTAGCAGTAGTCGGCATTTCAATTCAGTTTAAAATAAAATTCCAGGTATTTAAATCAGGTGCCAAGTTTCCAAAGTATAAATAATAATATTTCAAAAAATATTTTCATACATATTTTTTCATAACAAAAAAAAGTATTTTTCCAATTCTGTCCAAATGCCGCCTCGAACATGGGTCCAGTTTCCACGGCTGCTAACATAGAGACAATAGTAAACACGGTAAGGGGTTAAGTGGATAAGATCATATGAAATTACTCTCCAACAAAAAGATGGAGTATACATGTACAGTAGAACGTCGTTTATCCGAACGTTAATTATTCGGAGCTTCTAATATCCGGACCATTTTTTTTTTTTTTTGTCAACTACATGCACTGTATATGAATACGTTTTCGAACAGTGCAGTGCTCAACAGTTGTTTCTTGTGACCCCAAAAGTGACGGGAAAACCCAAGGTCAGGGATATTTGGGGAATTTCAGATGTTCGATTTGATTAATATCTGCGCGGAATATTAGGACAGTTTGTTTCCAAGTGGGGGGTTGTATACGTGCTCTTCTGTTGAGTTGTGAACTGCTATAGCTTCGAATTCAAAACGGAAGCGCAACGTCTTGAACATAGAGACCAAACTTGAAATATTGAACCGTCTCGCGAAGGGTGAAAGTGGAGCATCTCTAGAATAGTTTTATAATGTTGGAAAGTCAACAATTTATGACATAAGAAAAAAGTCGAGAAATCATTTTAAACTTTGCGTCAAAACTTGACTCGAAGAAAAGGAAAACCATGAGGGAAGCAAACGATGTTGTTCTTGATTGTGCTTTAGAGACAGTTTTCTGCGTTAGAGACAGCTATGGAGTAGTACGAACAACAATCAGATTGCTGTCCTACTCAACCACTGCTGCTCAAGAGAATCTGACCTTGCTGCCAAAAACCAAAAGTATACAATGGTACAACGAAAAATAAGTGATTATTTTCCACGATAAAAATAAAATTGCGACATTTTGCAGCTATTTTGCTTTTTCTTCAAGCACGATTCCCGCATGTGATGATTTTCAATGCATGAGTGTCCGGTTTCATATACTGCATGGATCGCCTTCGGTTTTCGGTTATCCGAACAATCACGTATCCGAACGGTGTCCGGTCCCAATTGATTCGGATAAACGACGTTCTACTATAAGTGGGCAGATATATAGGGACCAGGATTAGCTTTTAAAATATATTTCCTTTTCTTTCTGGTTTTAGTGCTATTTTGTAAATCACTTGATTCACCTGTTTGATTATATGGCATTTTGTTACAATTAGGACTTTAAAAAAAACGCATGAAACCAACATTTTTTTAACATAATACTAAATCAACATTAAGTTCCGGCCACATAAAATTAAACTTAGAACTTCGTTAACATTAATAATAAAAAAATTAACTCAGTGGCGCAACAGCCCATGAGGACCAAACTCAACTCAGCATACGCGACCTTGAGTCCTGATGTGCATGAGCAGATGTTCCAGTCTGGTGGTGAATCTGACGCGAAACCCTCAATGTTAAGTTCCCAAGCAAACTTGCTACTCATTTGTCGTCCCACTGAAGGGATGAAAGGCTGAGTCAAAATTGCCCGTCCCGGGGTTTGAATCTCGGACCTGTGATGAGGGGCAAGATACACTAACCACTCAGCCACTGAGCTTCAACATTAATAATACTATGTGAATATTGAAGTGTCTTACAAAGAGGCTTTGTAAAGAAAATTCTTTACTCAAAAGAAGCTGCAAGATTTTTCTCTAATACCTCAATACCACGTAAAAGTACAAAAGTACTTTTGATACAGGTATAACTCCTTATAAAAAGAGAAACGGGCATTTTTTTATAAGCGTTCTAAAACCAAAAGCAAAACAAAAAAAAACAAAAAAAAACACTAATTTCTTCTATTTTATTCTTTTTAAATTGTAAGGTTATTAAATTGAAAACTTTTAACTCCCCCCAATCCACATTGAATTTAAACACTATTATATATAGATTAACCGTATTTGATATTTTCGTAAAGCAGTATTCGCAAAAATCCTTTTTGAGGCGTCTTTGTTAAGCATCCATCCACAGTGAGATGTCAGGACCACTAATAAAAAAAAATCTTTTTTAATGCGGTATTGTCGACTCCACTACGAATTTTTCTATCAGATAAAGGATATTTGTAAAGAGTAGACATTTATGGACAATCTAAACCAACACACTGTTGAAAATAATCAATAGCAGCTATCGAAATAAAGAAAAATTTCCCACAACCCTCCTTTCGAAATCTAGTTTTATTCTGAAGTAAAAAAAGTAGTGATTATGTCGCAAGAAAATGATGGAATTAGGAATTTCATGAAATCCCTAAGGGAGATGATCAGTCGACGAGAGTTGTTAAAATGACGTCTCTTCATGGTCATTTCCCTGATAAAAGTAAGGGATTTGAACAAATCATTGACATGTTTCAATGAAATGATCAA